GTACCTATCATATTATACTAAGCAACTATACAATAGCTTTTTAAAAAATGAACAATAGTGCAGAAGTATTCAATAGTCACATTTTTGTAAAATTTCCATACCTGTGCAAGACACACACCTAAAATTTTAGGTGGAAGGTTTTGTCATTGAATAGTAATGATGTACAAGCATGAAATAAAACTCATGGTAATATCAGAAAAATATTATCATCTTGAATAGTCATCTATCAAAGGTACATCATCTTAATGTGAGCAGCTTCATGTATGGGAAATATATTAAAGGTAAGAGTTGATACTAACAAATCTTTGAACATGATGCACATTTTTTTTTTCTAAACAAGTAGGGTGCAATTATATGTGTGTTTTTTTTTTTGGTTATTGCCAGTTTTGTGTTTTATAGTACAAGTTTTAACTGCTTACAAATTTTAAATTTCAATTATATTTTCAGAAGCTCCCAAAGATCTGATAAGAAAATTATTAGTTGTTGATCCTAAGAAGAGAATTACTATCAAAGAAGCATTGGAACATTCGTTTTTCCATACAGTGGTAAGTCTTTTAGTATGACATATTTGTAATATGACATTTGAAAATTTAAATAAAGAAAATAGAATATAATTGAAACATTTATCATTCCATACAAGTAAAATAAATGTATTATATTCATGATTTTATGTTTTTATTTGTTTGCTTTATGTGTTCTACTTTCATGTAATTTATTATATTTTTATATATACTTATATATATATATATATACACACACACACACACACATATGACTAATCTGGAAGTGGCTTCCTTATGATAAAAGAAGATCATATTACCATGATAAATCGAGAATTGTTGGAATTACAGCTATGGGATCAAGATATCGCTCCTCTAAAACGTTCACTATCATCTAATTCGCGACGTCTGAGTAGGATATCTCAGTTAGCTTTGGTAAATTATTTTTGTTTTTATTTTGTTTGTCATTAAATGTGAGTTTTATTAATTTCAATTTTTATGTAACGCGTATAACAATTAACGTTTTGATTTTTATTAATATTTTAACTTAATCAAAGGTGAAAATAGTTGTCCATGTTTATTTTGTTTTATATTTTTGTTTTGCAATATTATGAAACTACTTCATTAAAACCTTAGCATATATTATGTACTTGTAAAGTGAAGTATATGAATTAATCTATATCGGTTATAATTATGCATAACTGATTGACGATATTATTGAAAAAAGTTTAACATGCATATACAGATATGTTTTAAACGTAACTTAATAATAATAAAAGAATGACTTACTATATTTGCATGTTATGTTGAAGAATTACTATAAAGGTACAATGTTTGAAGCTTTATGTACATATATTAGCTGCCTTTTCATTCCTTGTTCTTTTTGTGTAAGCGTTGTACAAATCATTATGAAGCACATTCTCCTTCAATCACTCTGGAAAGATAAAAATGGTGTTAATTTCTTAAAACTGTTTACTGTGCTATTTTGTGTGCCACTTCATTTCTAATATTATCTTTCTACTTAATGTAATATATACGTCTTTAACATGTATTTGTTACTATGTCCAATAACATTTTTATTACAGGCACCTATGTAATAAAAGTATAAAATTTTACGTTGGTTTAAAATACTTTCCGATCTTTTTTATCAAATCTTATATTTTGTACAGGAATTAAAGGCAAAATCATTTAATGCAAGAAAAAGATTCCAGTTAGCAATCATTTGTGTTCGCGCAGTTGTTCGTATCAAACGACTTCACAATACACCTGAACCTCTTTCAACTCAAGTGGCATGTACTGATCCTTACAGGATTAAAATTTTACGAAAGGTATTAAAAAATATTGTTAAGTGGTAAATTATTTTTTTTTTCAATCGTATTTCTAA